TGGGGGGAGGGGCAGTTGTCCACATAGTTGGGATTATAGATATTTTATATTAGTTTCCAGTTTTAAATTCTGCTGCTTGGCATCCCCATACCCATTAGCAGCATCTCAGTCCAGAAGTTCAACCTACAGTGGATTTTTGTATCATAGCTAAATTAGTGAATTTAGACATGAATATGTATGTAGTACACTCAAAAACTGGGGGGAAAGTAAGCCTTTTTACTCTTGTAAAAGAGTCACAATCTCAGAAACCCGCAGGCGCAGTTCTACCCTGTCCTATAGGGTTGCTATGAGTCAGAATCCACTGGTTGGCATTGGGGTGTATACTCAAAGTTTTTTTTAGCTATAGAACACTGCAATGCCTTCATTTTTTAAAGGACATTCATAGTGTCGATAGAATCGTAATCTATAATACTGTGTATAATACTGTATTTGACACAGTCAAAAGGAATCTTCATGACATAGTGGGTTAAGCGATGGGCTTCTAACCGCAGGTGGATGATTCAAACCCATCCGCCATTCCGAGGGAGAAAGTTGAGGCTGTCTGTTCCCGGAAAGATTTTCAGAAACCCTCTGGAGAAGTTATCCTCCATCCTATAGGATTGCTGAGTTGGCATCGACTCAATGGCAGAATGAAGCCAAGCTGCACGGTCTCCTGTGCGTTTCCTTGTTCTTGGTGTTCTAATCTGAGTGTGGCTCATCCTTTCCCTCAGTATTTCAGGGTCTGCAAGCGCACAAATGAAAATCCCATCTCCGAAGCCCCCCTGGAGAGAAACAGTTGTAAAATGCTTAACATTTCCTACATTGGGGTGTATAGGGAGCACTGGTGGTGTAGTGGTTCCGAGTTGGGCTGCAATCCCCAAGGTCGACAGTTCGAAGCCACCAGCAGCTACAAGGGAGAAAGGCTTGGCTTTCTACTCCCATAAACAGTTGCAGTCTTGGAAACTCATGGGGTGGGGTCACTATGAGTCAGCATTAACTCGATGGCAGCGAGAATTAGTTTACTACCTTTTAAAATGAGACTCTGTTTGTGAGTTAGAATATACTTTTACAAAAAAGAAGCACTGATGTTTTAAAATGATTTGGTGTGGAGGGATAAGGGTTTAGCAGCTTCCGACTATCATTGGTGTGTGGCTTCCTTTTCTAACCTAGGTCTCAGAGAAGATTGAGGAAAACATGGAGAGACTGAGGGCGAGCTTGTCCATCTGGGACGACGTGCTTTCAGGTAAAGAGGAGATCGATGGATGGTCCAACACGTCTGTCCCACGTCTGTCTGAAAGCATCAACCACCTGACTAACAGCCATAAAACCGGAGAACTACTTAAGGAATTTGAGGTAAAGAGACCAAGCCTGTGCATATGGTACACCTGAGCTTATGATGTATCGTTAACAAGGACAAATGAGTCTCTTTTTAACAGTTATTACTCCTCTCAGAGACATAAGTGAATGTTATAAAACTCGTGACCATCTCTTGCTACTTACTTAAGATGTAAATAGGCTAGGGCTAAGAGTCTTCCCACTTCTTAGCAGGGAATTTTTACATAAGGATGAAAGAGGGATTTGTAGAATAAACACAAGTCCAAGAAATCTGTAACTTTCCCCATTCCTTTGAGAAGATGATATCGTCCTACTTGAAAAGAAAATCTAAAGTGTTTTGTGATTTAGCAATAGCTAGCATCTATGTTTTCTGTCCTCAAAAACTTTCTGCTGAGCATGCAGCTGAATTATCAAAAGAGCCTTGGTGGCACAGTGGGTTGTGTGTTGGGTTTCCAAATCAAAAGGTCAGCAGTTTGAAACCCAGCCTCTCTGGGTTTCTAGTCCTATAAAAAGTTATCGTTTCAGAGCCCCCAGGGGCAGTGCTACGCTTCCCTGTAGAGTAGCTGAGTCCGAATCTATTCAGTGAGAGCGAGTTGGAGTGTTGGACCAAGGAAAGATTCTGGCCTTTCAAAGTTCTAGTCAATCACCAACATGTTCTAATCTCTTTTGATGCCCATCTCTCACTTGTAGTTACTCCGTCTTTCCGCTAGTTCTTAACACACACCAAATTTATGTCAGATACTCTTGCAGACCCAGAGACTATATAATTAGGTAAATTAGCTGGGCTGAGAGACTTGACGGTATAACGGAGTGTGTCATAGAATTAGTTATATAGCAGTGTGTGTAAACTATCAGATAGCCATTGGGCTGGGCTGAAGCATGAATCAGTGAGGGAAAGGGACGTGGTAAGAGATGCATGGGTGGTGAGTGTTTCTTTACCACAGCATCTTCTGGAGCTCCAAGCTTCATCCGAAACTTGTAAGATACCCAAGTGAATGGCTGTAGTCTGAAAAACAGAGCTGGATGAACTTTCTTGCTAAATGACTCCCGCTACCTTTGACCCAAAGAACATTCTAGAAGTCGTATGAAGAACCATAAGGAGTCGAGGAAATATTGCAGAGGAAAGTAGTTGCGCCAAGGGTTCTAGGCCTTCCGTCTCAGGACGATGACACCACTGAGATTCAATTAACACTACAGATCCAACAGTGGTGGGTGTTCCACTGATTGGCTGATACCAATGCCCAAGGATGGCCTTCACCCTTTATTTTCATGATGATTGGATTACCACAGGATCCCTGGTGGCATAGTGGTTACACGTTGGACTGTGATCTGAAAGGTCAGCAGTTTGAAACCACTAGCCTTCCCAAGGGAGAATGACAGGTTTTCTAGTCCCCA